TTCTTTGTAAAAACTTTAATTGAATTTCAATAAAGTTAAAGGCATGGCCTCACTGTTAATATTTAAAAAAAAAAAAAAAATTCTTCTGCCATATTTCCTTTATTAAATACTCATTCTTTGATATCTTTACTTTTAGATTTATCATCAAAACTACTTATTTTAGTAAAGTTTGTATCATCTAATCAGTACTAATAGGAAATTGAGACTCAAAGCTTGCTCATATTTAATGCTTTTTAAAACTATATATAAATCTATAAATTAGTACAAAATTATTTGATAATTATATAATTATATTATACTTATATGTAATTAAACTTGTCAATTAGTATGGAAAAAACCTATACAAGATTATAAACATTCTATTAAAGCTGCATTTATACAGATTTCAAATATTTTTTGTACTACAAAAGCACATTCTTTTGCACCTAGTGCAGCCCAAGACCAAAATTGAAAATTTTTTTTTGAAGTGGCCAATTGACTGTTCATTAAAAAGAAAATTACCTCTTTAAAAATTTTTATATTTACATAAAATTGATTTAGATTTATTATGTGACCAAGCTTCATAATAGTATATAAGCCATTTACTAAGATATATATTGTTAAGATTAGTTATGTTAGATTTAAATTTTGTCATTTGATATTCAGGATGAAGAAGCCAAGACAAAAGAAGAAGTAGTTGTTCCCATTCTTTTTATCTTAACTCTAATTAATCTAACATTCATTGTCCTTCTTCATAACTTTTCCAAAATCTTATGAAATAACCAAACCCATATAAGACTTCATGTAGGCAGGTCTTGTCTTTTTGAAAAAGATCATTAACAATACTATAAGGTGTTAAAATATTAATAAATTTTTGTAATATGCCACCATATTTTATTTAAAAGAATTAATATGAGATCTTGTGAAAGATATAGTGAATTATTATCTAATAGTTTATAGATATCAAATTTAGATGCAAGCATCTAACATTATTATAAAAAAAAAACTTATATATATAAGTATTAAAAATAATTAATATAAAATTAAATCATAATTTTTTATATCCTTAATGCAGATTTTGATTTAAGTAGTGAGTGAAAGCATTCTAAATAACTATTTCAACATGTATCATTGCCAATCACCAATGAGATATATTTATTATAAATTTCTTTTTGCAAGTCTTTTAATTAGTCAATAAAATACTTATGCTATGCTGGATGAAAATAAGCTACTACTTTGATTGCATTAACTGCTGCTTGATGAAATTCAGTAGACTCTTTAAAAATTTTATCTACAAATAAGTTTATTTGATAGGCATAGCATGGTAAAAAAGAAATATCAATGTATTTTAATTAAAGATGATGTCTATATTTGTTAAAAGGTTAATTTTTAAAAATTATAATATAAGTTTAACTTTATTATATATTTATATACCTTGCTGTGGCATAAGAAGATGCACTATCACAAACAACTGTGATTAGCTTTACTTCTATTTAACTAATTTCAGTAAACATTACTTTAATTTTTTTTATAATATTTTTTCATCTTTCTCTTATACTACTAATATCTATTCCCTTCCAGACTAATACCTCTTTTTCAAGTGTAATAAAAACTGCACTCATAATATTTTAATTAACTATATTGGTCCAACTATCAAAAGCAAGTGTTAGTTCAACAGAGCTATTTTTAAGTTTTATTATCATATTATTGTCAAGATCTTTTATTTCATGATTTAAAATTCTTCTACCTAATGATAACATCCAGATAATTTTAAAGTAAGATTTAAAAACTGAAACAACTCCTGAATTTCTCTATTTTGCACTTATCATAATAAAAATCCTGCAGAAACTATTGCACAAAGTAGGAGAGTCTTTAACTTTTTTTATCACTTTTAGTTAATGACCGAATTGCATATTTGTTTAGTGGTCTTTTATCTATTAAAAAATATATATATTTTTTTTTTAGTATTAAGGTGAGGCCTTGCTCATATCTTTATTAGTAATTTTAGTTGTATATATTAATATACTATATACTAAGATATACTAAAATTGTAAACTACAAAAATCTATTAAAAAATATATACTAGTATATGTTTTTAAAAGGTTATATAAAATTATTATTAAATTAAATATACTTACTAGCTTGTTTTATTCGAGGTCTTTTGGTATTATTATCTATATCTGATATTTCATTCTTCTCTTCTAAGCTAATGCCCAATATTTTTAATACTACTTCTATACCATCTTGCTTATCAATAAAATGCTGATATTTTTTTAAATAATTCTTTGCTTACTCACTTTTATTTGGAAATTTCTTAAGTATTGCAGTCACTTTACCAACTGCATTATGGCATGCATAACAAATCACATAGTTTCTCTATTTATTAGCTTTTTTATCAAGAACTTTAATATAATCAATAAATTTATGAAACTTTTTTCTTAACATCATTAAGAATAATCTTGACTTACTATTACACTGGTTAAGTATTTATTTGAAGTTATTATATTATTCAAATATACTTTATAACTAATTTCTCAGAAATGCATACAATTATTTTATATATATTTTTGTACTATTGCTAAATTTCTTTACTATTATAATTACTTTTTTTTTTTACAAGATTAAATTTTACTATTTATAGTATGACATTTAACTTGGCTTTATAAGATTAATGATGTATTAGTTATGCTGTATATGAAAGGTTTGTTTATTACTTGTCATTTGCTGACTTAGATTGTTTTTTTTTTCAATATTCGAAGTCAAATTTTATTAAATACATTACTTTATATAGTAATTTTATATTTTATACAGCAATTTTAAGTTATTTTTTTAATACAAGAAAATGAGCTTTAACACAAAATGAAGTTAACACTAATTTGTTTAAACAAGAATATCCAAAAGTTTTGTAATAGGTCTTGAGACTGATCAAAAAAATTTCTTAGCATTAGATCTTTTATCATAAATTTATTTAAATGTTACTTTATATGCTAAACATTTAATTTGGATATTCATTATCATTATGCATATTCATCTTTGTAGTACATATAGTACATATATACATATGTATGTATGTTTGTACATATATATATACAGTATAGGAATCTAAAAACTCTATAAAAGACATAATATACAACAGGCCACTATTGTTTTTATATATAAAACTGATCAAAATATATTATATTGTATGTATGTCTGTACATATTTTTAAATGTATTTAATTTTTGGCCAATTTGGCCAATTGGTCATGGCCAAATTGGCTATTAGACTAATATTTTTCTTTGGCTGCTGCTAATTGCCAATTAACTTTGGTCACAACATCTTGGTTATTATTTGGCTAAGTAGGCAATTATTAGCCAATGACCAATTTAATTACTTGACCAATATAAATTGCCAACACTGACTTGGAAGGTTAACAACCTGACTACTTCACTAGGTTGCCACATCCCAAAAATATTTTTTACTTAAAAAGTATATTGCTAAAATTAATTATTAAAATTTTATTATAATAATTAATTTTAAAAAAAACAATACAAGTAAATTTGTTTGTAATACAATTTAAGTAATAGATTTTTTTATATACTCCTATAATTGATGTTAGTTGTAGTTTGAACATATATGCTTTCTGCAGATTATCAGTCTAGTATTACAAAAACATCTAAAATCTTGATTTATAATATACAGATATGAAAATTATCAATAATGTTATAATGTATGATTACTATTTTTGTTTTTTTTAAAGATTTTCATAGTATTTGTATAAAATGTTCTAAATATAGTTATATACTCTTTTTTATAAACTTGTTTAATAATTTTTTATTTTGGTTCTTTAATGAAATCTGGTTTTATAAAAATAATATATAATATTAATAAAAAGTTGTCTATAATATTACTTTTAAAAATAAATATACCAAATTCTTACTATCTACTATAACTCTTATCAAATATAAATTCAACTACAACTCAAACTGTTAACAATTTTTTTGTTATTAAAAAATAACTTTTTAAAATATTTACTAACTTCTTGTTTTATTTAATAATAAGATAAACACTTCAGATTTCTTTTAATTTATATTAGCTAAAATTAATTTGAAATAATTGAATATAGCATTTATTAGAAAATAGAAGATGTAATGTCACATTGAGTGTCTTTAAAAAATAATATTCTCAACTAAATGACAGAAATGTAATTTTAAATCTTTAGTATTGAAATTTTCTTCTATGTACTTATAAAAGTTCTACTTTGATATTATAAAAAAAACCACTATTAAGAAAAATAATTTATATACTCTATTTTTAAACAAATCTAATAAAAAACAATTCAGTTCTGTAATATTTATAGTTTATAATAGTTCAATTTTATAATAATTTGGTTCTGAATTCTGAACTACTGTTTTATTAATTTAGAACCAAACTATTAACATCCTTTAATCGTATATGAAGATTATTGATAGTTGAAACATTAATTATATATACGTAGTTGGCAATCATTTTAGTTAACTAGTTAAGAAAATTTTAACTAACTATTCATTAATTGATTACATATTCACATGGTAAAATGAAAAGCATTTTCATTAGGGCTATGCCTGTAGGATATTTTAAACACGAAGGTTAGATTTTTTGATTTTTTTTTTTACAGTTTGCTTTCATGAGTGAATCGATTTATTAAGTTATGGAATTAGCCAAAAAATCATATGACTAATTTTTTTTATCAGATATTCCAAAATAAATAATAGTCATAACTTTCATATGAATTGCTCGGGTAGCTATTTGAAAACTTTTATCAATAAAAGATCATCTTAAATCACATTAATATTTTATAGTATAACAATTTCAGAGAGTATAGTAATTATGTGAATACGCTTATTATCTTTATTATTACTTATACTAAAAATAGTTTCTTAAACTGAAGAAAAAAGATTGTTCAACGTGATCAAAGATTGATCTGATTGGCCAATAGCAATAGTAGGCTGTGCAGGCTACACTGCGCCAAATTTTTGAGATCAGGTCAGCTTGCATAATGTTGTCTTGAATTAAATAATGCTTACAGGCTGCGCAGTAGATTCAAAAAAACCCCACTAATTTATTATTAAATATTCATTGAATTCAATTCGGTGAAATATTTTGTATCCGGATATTCGACTATTCACATACATGTATATTATTCTAAATATTCATATAGATGTATATTATTCTAAATATTCATATAGATGTATATTATTCTAAATATTCATATAGATGTATATTATTCTAAACATTCACATACATATATATTATTCTAAACATTCACATACATGTATATTATTCATCGGATCAGATATCTAATAAATGATTCATGTTATAGCGAAGCTTCCAAAAGTATCGTTGAGATATTAAAAGTTTAGTACCGATTTGCTAAATTCATACTATTACAAGTTATCATTATCATAAAAGCACGAATCATTATTATGATTTGGATGAGGAATGTAACTTAGAAAAGTTTATTAAATTCAAATATACATACACTTTAAAATAATCTACATTGATTTATAAAAAAAACAAAAACAAAAAAAAATTAAGAGATTGCATCTATATACAAATGAGCAAAAATACAGTATCTCTAGTCTATTATACCATAATACGGTATATATCTAGTCTATTTATAACGTAATATAGTAAGTCAGTCTATTAATATAAATTTAACTACATAGGAATTATATAAGTAATTCACAAATTTAACTACATAGGAATTTTTTTGGGGGGAGTTTTAGATTAATCAACCATTTTTCCTACACGCATATATATATATCTATCTATATACAAGTATATACGTATATGTAATTTTTTTTTTTACAAACGTATAAAAATACATTAACTCAACATTAAAATCTTTATGTATCCTTTCTTTTAAATATCATACAAGTAACGATTTCTTTAACTAAAACAACATGATCCTCATTACATAAAGTATCACAATAGAAATCATTTACCCGATTTTCTTCACCATGACCAAACGGACATTTTTTAAAGAATATAGGGATAGTAGTTACGGTTATTAAATCGTAATCAGGAGCATATAAATCTTTTGAATTTAAAGTAATTGGAATTTCCGATTTGTCATGAAAATGATTTGTAAAATTGATAGAAGAAGGATTATTTGAAGAGGTACGAGAATTATGATAGAGATAATTTTTGTGATTAAAATTGGGATTATAATAATTAAAATTAAAATTGTGATAAAAAGAATTATCCGAAGCAAACATTTTGTTGTTATCATTTAAATTAGGGTGATTAAAATTAAATTTTGAAGAATTATTTAAATCATATCTTTGTGATATGAACTGTGGATTATGAATATTATTTTCATTGGTTGGATTATAAATTATAGGGACTTCAACATAAGAAGAATCAGATATATTATCCCAAACATCATTATCATCATCATCATCATCAACATTATCATAACAATAATCATCTCTAGTACCAGTTATGGTTTCTTCAGAACCATCATAAGAGGTATCACGAGGACAGTATTCAGCATCATAATTGTTGAAAATGGAATCATGAAGGTCGGAAGAGCGAGAAAATTGAGGAAATTCATGGGAAGAAATATTTTGTACAGGAATGACTTTAAATTCAGGAAAAGAGAAATATAAATCAAGTCGTTTAGAAATTAAAGCTTGTAAAGGTTTAATTGCATAAAATTTTGCTTCACGTTCTAATTTTTGTAAGGTAGAAAGAGGTAATTTTGGTAAAGTAGAAGTTCTTAAGAATTCTAAGACGTAAACGAATAGGGAACCGTCACGATCAATAAATAATTTATCGGGCCAAGGTAATTGAGGATGTACATTTTTATGACTTGAATTAGAATGAGTATTTGGAGAACGAAAAATGAAAAAGAGTTCAGATAGATAAGATGGATATACGCAGAGGGTCTGTTGTCTTGTTGTGAATTGCATCTCACCGACGGTTAGTTTTATTGGAACTGAACTAAAATATTTTAAATATATAGATTATATGTATAAATCAATAAAATAAGCACAAATTAAACAAGAAATATTTCAAATTATTATAAAGAAAACTTACCCTAACATATCCTCTTCTTCTAGAGTTTCTTTCTCTACGTATTTTTCAAGAGATACTTTTTCACTGTTATGATTTATATTCTGTTGATTCAGAAGATTTCGATGTTGTGAATCATTATTTAATGATGTATCGAAAAAAGGTTCCGGCTTTTCATCAGAGCGCCTTTTACTATTTCTATTATTTTCTTGCGCATTGATTTCAAGTTTTTGATCTATACTACTTTGATTTTCGCAATTTTGACCTTTGCTAGGTTGACATTTGCTAGATTGACTTTTGTTAGGTTGACTTTTGCTAGATTGATTTTTGTTGGGTTGACTTTTGCTAGATTGACTTTTGCTAAGTTTACATGAAGAGCAAAAAGCTTTAAGTTTGAAATTTTTAAGACCGCATTTTTTGAACAAATTTGATATTTGCTTTTTAATTGCCATTGTTTATGAAAATGAAGAGAAAAAAAAAATGAGAAAAAATTACGAAATTTTTTGATGAAATTCAGTGTGATTAAATGTTTAAAGGTAATGTTGGTTATTTTTATCTATTCTTTGTGCATAATCTTATATTGCATATTTATAAATATGCATTAGAATATTAAATATGATATGTAAGCCTTTAAGTGAATCCTTTATATGAATTTTTTTTATGATCACGAATAAATTTCCACGTTTCGATAAATCATCGTACAGCACGAACTCCACGTTTCGATAAATAGACGATCAAAAAAAAAAATCTTATTTTTATGTAAATATTGTAAGTATTGTAATGAATATTTTTTATGAAAATTTATACGTATGAATCAATTCAACTCAAAAATTCGATATTATTTCAAATATATACAATCGGAAAAAAAATTTTTGATGTGCATTAATACTCCTAAAATGTATCCAAAAAAAAATTTTGCGTCATAAAAAAATCTTGGCTCTCGTTTTAGAAAATGCAGAATGGTAACGATAATCTATCCTTTTAAATGAAATAATTATGTAAAAAAAAAACGCCAAGCCTAAAAAGGTATTTGCCCAAATAAAGAAATAAATTTTATTGACACGCGATAATTTACATATCTAGCCTAGTGCATTGTTGAAAAGTAAATGAAAATATAGTAAATGAGTAACCCTAATAATTTTCTCTGGTTAAACCGAGCATGGAAATTGTTTTAACTATTTCGAGTATTATCTCCATATTACGTATCTATCTTTCGATACTACCTTGCACAAAAATACTACGTACGTATACCTTTCACAACCTATTTTTAGTATTTCATATCCTTTGATAGGATTTGTTTTACATTAACGTAATTCCATTATCGTTATGATAACAAGAAAATTTATTAATACGTATAATAGAGTTTCATCATAAACCTTTACGTACAAATGTCTTTATACGTAGTCTTTATAAACTTTAACATAAACTTTAACAATATTCATTATTCATTACTAATCATTAAAAAAAAAAAAATCCTTGGTAAAATTTACGAACTAAATTTTTTGAACAATCATTTATTTGTGCCACTAACTCAGACATTAAGATATTGCGTGTTTCTTGTTACGTATGTACTTATGTACGTACGTATGTGAAAGAATAAATGATTTATATTCGTCTAACCAAATGTTGTAATCCTTTCATTAGTGAATATTTTGTGTATGAAATAATGCCACTGCGTTTCACGAATAAAGCTATTTATATAGTTTGACCTATCGTTGTATCTAACGTTAAAAATTTCTTCTGAAAGTCAATTGCAGCATCGGTTACACTTTTCCGTCGGAAAAAGATGTTCTTGTAACGTAACACTGTACGTACAGTATTAGAGCATACATAATTTTTTAAAATTTTTGAGTAAGAAAATATAAAATTATACATTTTAATGTCTTTGTTTTTGAAACTTGCAATAAAACTTTAAAAAAAAATTTGTAACTAACGTAAAAATAGTTACAATTAATACGTTAAAAAAATTCACTGTCGCAAAGATCACAATCTGTAACGGTACATGTTACAATAGTAATAAAAGTGAAACGATTAGCTTTTAAATGTTGTCACACGATTAATTACCATGTGGAAGGTCATTGCATGACTTACGTAAGTGTTTCATTTTACATCCACCGTCTGTAATATTTCCTTAAATTCTTTCAATGCATTCCCCCCTGAATCGTCACACAATCCTGCATTTATTAATTGTGGGATGCATCGCTTAATCTACAAAGCATTTGATGAATTTGATGATAATGGTATTGTAATCCTGTAATTCTATAATCGGATATCGATTTCGTCTGATCAAACATATTGTTGAATTGATCAACTTATCTGTTATATAAATGTAAATAGATAAACTATACGTTTTAAAATTCTACTCTTTTTCTGCATTGATAACTATATTTTTTTTAATCTTGTTTACGTATTTCACTTAGTGGTTTCAAAGATTCCAAAACTCGTATGTATGCATATCAATTTTAAAGTCATTTACAATATCTTTTATATTTAACATTATTCGTATCAGTATGTTTAACTTTATTTAATAATTTCTCCACAATACATTTCATACAATTCATATGAATTATCGTTAATATTTTATCACTTAACAGTTAATATAATTAATGTAATCGAATCCGGATAATTGAATATGCATACGTACATATCGATTTTAACTATCTAGATAATCTAGATACTCTTTACGTAAATGTATGTTATAGTACTAAAGTTTTGGTTAGAATCTACGTAGTCACGTAACGTACACTCTTAACAGTTAAGTACAGTACGTACGTACGTACGTTGCGTAGCTAGTATGTTATGTACACACGCAAGCACGCCTTATACTTTTAACTGCATATCCTGAAAATCAATCTCTTTAATCATGTGAAGTTTTTTGTTTAATTAATAAAATATATTCTCCCCTTATTGCATAAAAATTATTACTACATACATACGTACTTGATTTTATATTCAGTTACTTCATACCGTTTATTAAATTCTGTATCTAAACTGAACTCTGGATATAATTATCAAATGCAACACTATTAAATATGGTACATATTAAAAACTTTTTTAATAAAACCAAAAAGTTAAAAAAAAGTACCCCCACAAGTTATAAACAATATTGTTCATTTAAACTATGGAAAACAATTAATGAATTATTCTAGAAATATTTCTAGAAATATTTCTAGAACAATTTTAAAAAATGCACATAAATCATATGATTTACAAATTAAGTTAAATAAAAATATCAGGTCTAAGAAAAGGTCTAAGAAAAAAATTTTTTTTTTTTATAAAAGAATTTTGCTGCAATATCATATATTAGGTTAATAAGACATATAACTCCGTGATGTAACTGTAAATTCCTCTTTTACGGAATTCTATCTACTGTATCTACTGTATCAGACTATTTTCGGTTTTATTGATCTCCCTTAATTTTTTCTTGAGCCAAAAATACGCTCATCATAAAAGGATATAAATTAACAATCTTTGGTAACGATCGCTATTCTGTGTTATAAAGTTCAAGATATCGAAATCATTTGAGGCCTATGCACTAACGTCAGGCAGGCATGCATGTTCACGTGAGAATTTATATTAAACTTTTTTAAGAGTGTGTACTTTATCACCGTGGTATTTTTATTGATTCAACAATGAGTTTTGCTACATACATAAACGATAAGGCGTTGATACTAGAAATAGTAAAGTTGCACTCTTGGTCCTAAGACATTTTAGTCCCGCTGTGTGGAATCCACCTGGGCGACCCACGTTTTTTGAGTCATGTGATATTCGACACCAAATTAATCAATGTTTGGTTTATATAATTAATTTTTTTTAAAAATATCTAATTTTTACAACAAATTTAAATATTTTTTAAAAGTAAAATAAAAGTAAATTATAATATAAAGTATTTTTTTAAAAAATGTCAAAATAGAAACTTTATTAAATAATAAAAAATTATATTAAAGATTTTTAAATTACATTTGTGCTCTTATTTAAAACACCCAATGTGACATTATACCTTCATTTTTATATAACATTATTATTAATTATTTAAAATTAATTTTAAATATAAAAAAATTAAAAAAAGTCTAAAATAATAATCTTAACATTTAGTAAATACAATTAATAAATAAATAGTTTAAAAATAATCAGTTTTTAATAAAAATAATAAAATCAATAATAAATGTATTGAAAATATTAGATATTAATTAAAAAAAACTAAAAAGTATATATATATATATATTAATATTAAATATTAAAACTTTTTTTTTTTTTGCACTTAATTAGACCTACAATGTTTATTATTCACATTACATTTTTCTTCTTCAAAGTTCTCTTCTCTTCTACACTTTGAAGTACTATATTAATGTTTCTTAATGTTGCAATGCTGTTTGTAAACACTTCTATGCTTTTTTCTTCTGGTATTGTTAGTTTTTTTTTTTTTTTAATCTTAAGCAGTTACGCTAGTACTTTATTAAGATTCTTGAAACTATATACATATACAATTACATAGAATTTCCCAATGTCTAAGTCTAGCATCACTCGGCCACCTTTATGGTACCTAAGTGCAACCTGCTGCACTATCTCAGTTAGAGATAGACTGCTCGTCTAACTACTTAAAGCCATACCAGAAGGGCCTCTTTCCTTCTGTGACAAGCATATTGATTGTCTTCAAAGCTTCTTTCTTTATTTGGTTCACTTTCTCTATTTTCTTTTCCTTTTCTTCTTCTCTTGTTTGTTGATTTTTTTCCTTCTCTTTATTTATTTTTTCTTTTGTACAAACACCTTTTTTCATTTTGTTTGTTATATTATTCTTCTTTTTCCATTCTTGTGTTTTCTCATATCAGACTCTTCATACTTGGTCGTAAAAGGTGTTTCACATTGTTCTTGTTGCTATATTCATGCACTTCTGTGTTGCTTACTTACTTAAGAGTCTTTTGAGTTTCTTTTCTACTTTTACCTTCATAAGTTCTTTTATCAGTACTTTTCTATTTTTGATTTCTTTAGTTTCTGATTTCCCAAATAGTGTTTCATATAGAACTCATGGTAAAATTCTGTTCTTTTCTTCTTCTTTGAGCCCATTCCATGCTGCTGCTATTGCAACTTTTTGAATTTGCATCCATAGATTTTTTTGTTTCTTACAGCTAGCCAGATATGCTTGCATTTCTTTTTCTCCAACTTGGCACACCTGGCGTTCTGTCGTTGTATATACTTCTGGTCTTCTTCTGTTTAGCTCTTCGAGTATTAGCAGTTTGTCTATTATATACTTGATTGCTGTAGCTCTTCTCATGTTGAGTTTTTTTGATGTACAGTGAACTCCTCTTGTTCTGTTCATTTTTTTCCAAAAACTTGTTCAATTATGTAATGTGTTTTCTGTTTCTGGCTCTAGTACTTTTATTGGATTTGTTTTTCTCCAACTGGTTCCAATTCACTATTATTTTACACAAAAGTCTTGCTGGTATATCGATTT